AGTTTATTCTATACTAAAAAGTTAAAGTGGTTTGCAAAATAAGGAGTAAGCTTTTGTTGCATTTTTCAACTTGGTTTGTTTTTTGATAGTTGTTGTAAATATCTTAAGAAATATCAGCTTAAATGCAAAGAAATTGTGTGAATATTGGTTGCTTTTCTCATAAAGAACAGTGATATCAAACACTTTACTCTTTGCAAAATGTTTATTATAATTGTATTTTAATTATTGCATACCATACTTTTATGGGTAGTTAATGCATATTCAAATAAAGTTTTCATTTGTAATTATTGTTATAATTATTTGAACTATTTTTTTAAATGTTTATTTGTAAGTATTATAAATATAGTTTCTAACTTAATTACTAATTAACACATATTAACTTATTAAATATCAACCCAAGCAAAGCAAGGATATCACACCAGTGGACATGAAAAGATGGTAAATGGCTATTAAAATTAAATCATAAAAACTTTTGACAAAATTATTAGGTAGAAACATTTGTTGCTCCAAAAGGAGTTTAAAGTTTTTTAAAAAAGGAAATTAAATTCTAGTTTGTCAGGACTTGTATTATACTATATATTCTAAATTATGTCATAGTAGGGGTGAGAAAAAAATCAAAAAAATTAAAAATTGATTTGAAATTATAGTGTTTGGTTCAATTCGAATTAATTTTTTTATTCAATTTGGATTAAATTTGGATATAAAATGTATATATTAGATTTAGGTCAGATTTTAGATTGAAAGATAAAAATTAAAAAAAAAATAAATCTAACTGAATTATATATATTTTTTAATTATATATATATTAAAATTTTATTTTTATATTAAAATCTACTTAAATATATTAAAATAATATATAAAATTAATAAATTAATAAATTAATAAATCAAATTAAATTAATAAAATTTAATTCGATTTGAATTGAATTATATAAAAATTTAATTAAAATTAAATTAAATTTTATAATTTTATAATATTATATAATATTTTAAAAAAATTAACCGAATCATTACCATTTTGTCATAGTATGAAACGACTATGGATGTGCAATCAATGTCTCAAAGGGCATTCCAAAAAGAAAATGAAAAAGAAAGAATGTGAATGTGACCATTACGTTTAGCTACGCTTTTGAATTTGTGGCTACGGTTAAGTAACTGATTCCTTTAGAGGTGTGGGGCCGGGTTGAAGGGAAGACTTCACAGTTCACATTTGGGGGGGGGGGGGGAGAGAGACGCAATGGGACGGTGAGGGTCCAAAGCATGCTTCACCAATTACGTCGGTTTCACTGTGCCTACATACTGAAGTTGACTTGACATGACTGCACCTCCATTTTGTTATCAAAAACATTTCTCTTCAAACGGGAAAGAAATAGAGTATGGACTTAAAAAAAAAAATGGTTTCAAAGATGAATTTCATATAAAAAAGGAAAGAAAAAAAAAAGAAAACGTTTGTTTGTTGACCAACTAGATATTGGATTACGAAGTGGGCCAAGGTCCACAATAAGAAAGTGTAATGGGCTTCTGAGTTTGTAGTATTCTATTTTTTAACAAAACAAATTATCTTCCAACTTAAAAGGTTAAACGCAATTTTGATTTGAATGGCACAGGCAGTTGTAACAAAAAGCCAAAGAGGAGAAAAATGGGGGACAGAAGAATAGCAGATAACAAGAAACCTACAACAAATATGGCCAAGTGGCCTGTTGTTAAACCCAAACTGAATCTGCAGATCATGCCCTTAGAGACAACGATCTCTTCACCGTACGTTTCTCTTCAATTTCACTTTTTTTTTTTTAATTTCTTTTCCCATTTTCATCTCCAATTTTGCTACTTTAATCTCCAGATTACTAGATATTGGATTATGAATCATGTTTTCTTTTTATGGTAAGAAAGATCGGTAGTTCCAAATATAAACAGTTTTAATGATTACATTTATGCCTACTTCAAATTTTTTGTAAAGTTATTGTCTAATTATCTGTTAAAAGGTTCAAACTTTCAATTGCTTCATATGTGGGTTCTTGTAAGGGTGAAATTTGTTCGAAAAGTTAATAAAACTTAACTCTGGTTTAGATGTTTTAGCTGCTTGTTCATTTGGTCTAATGAAATGGGCTCATAAAAGTCTTTTTTTCTTTTTTAATTCTAATTTGATCATAAGACGTTTAGATCGAGTGTGGATCAAATTTAGTTGAATTTGGTTTTGAAATGTGTTTTTATCTTTATTGGAATTTTTTTCATGTGGACTTTGCTTTAAATTGAATACGATTTTACTTTGAAATGTTCTATGTACAAGAGTCAAGACTTGAACTTTTCAATAGAAAATGATGTGGAAATCACACTTTATCTTTATTAGGCATTAAATTTTTGCTCTTGAATTCTGGCTCATATAAGTTACAGTGAGAAACTGCGTTTTGGTGGAACGTGATCTTGTTGAAATTCTTGGATGGTAATGATTTATTTTACTGTTTTTAAGATATGCAGGTGCATAATTTCTTCACCTTCGCAGAATCAAAGGCATTTATTAAAACTGCTGAGTCTATTGGTTTTGAACACCAAGTCTTGGTCCAACTGAAAGTGAAGCCTACAAAGACAATGACAGAGTATCTGTTAATGATCCGGCTCTTGCAGATACTATATGGCAGTCTGGACTCTGCAAATTATTCTGTGATATTAAATTAGGGGGAAAGTTGCTGTTGGCTTGAATCCAAATATTAGATTTTACAGGTATATTTAATTTTTTCCTTTAAATTTTTACTTATTTTATGTGAATAAATAGAATATTTATGGGCAGTTGATGTTAGATTTTCTAGCTCTGAAATGCTTCTTGAAGAGTGGAGAATTATTTTGCTATGCCAAGCTGACATGCAAATCTCATATGTAACTTTACGAATTTGAAGTAGCAACTTTGTTGGAGTATAAAAGACTATGATGTGTTCCAAAGGTTTCTCAAACATTTAACTGTGTAATTTGCTTCTTTAGTGTATACAGAATACTGAACTTTGTTTTTGACTTCACAGTTTTTAGTATTTACCATGCAATCAATATTCTACTTCAAGGTATAAGGTTGGTTAACTCTTCGGACAACATATTGACAAAAGTGTTGATCTTGGAGAGGGAAAGCACACCCATTATGCTTTGTTAATATATTTAAGTGGTGGTCCTAAAACCAAAGGTAAAAGTGATTCAAGCAACCTGAAGGATTCTGCATCAGAGCCTCTAGTTGGAGGGGGGACTGTCTTCTATTGTTCAAGGAATGGTGTTGTAACAGAGGTAAATTTTTTTCCTTTTTTTTTTTTTCATTTTCATATTGTTTTCATTTCTCCCCCTCCCCAAACAGCAATTCCCCCCTTTTATTTTGTTTAAGTTTTTTAATTCTTATTCGATTAGCTGTATGGTTCTGATGCAAGATGGAAACCTAGTAAAGTCTATAGGAGGAGGGGCGAGGAAAACAATCCAAATATCATAATACAGCAAGATTCTAAAGCTGAATTTGCTTTGCTACCTGGCATTCACATGCTGCCACCCAAGTAAAAAACCTTACCACTTAAGTGGAATGTTGGCTGATCATCATTAAGGTGCTTGCTGCCACTTAGTAAAAGCTGTATCCAACATACTAGGACATTATGAAGATGCTGGCTGTCTTCCAGTCTTGGCTATAGCAGGCCTACCTAAGTTATTATCTACTTGTTGTCATTTAATCATGACTATAGCAGGCTGCCTAAACCTTGACTGCATATATATTTGGGAGATTTTTGTGTGCTTGGTAGTGTTATGTGGAAAGAAATTAATTAAATTTGTGTTGAATGTGTGATGCATTCTTAGGGAGTGATTCCCTAATCCTAAGTGTGTTTTCTGAAGTTATTGTGTTCCTAGATTTCAGTTTTCATAGTTCACCTAAATTATTTTTGTTTTCTTCTTCCTAATTTTCTGATTGTTTATGTACACATATCAACAAAATTTCCAAGTCTTATTCTTCCTATTTTTATTGTTTGAACCTAAACTTTAAGTCCTAAATCAGTCTCTATCTAGTCTAAGTGTGCTGCTTATAAATATCCTAAATCAGGCTTACTTTGGGATATCCTTTATTAATGTAATATTAACTTCGCAGATAGCTCCTGCTGAAGGAATGGCTCTCCTACACATTCATGGTGACAAACGTATGCTGCACGAGGCCCAAAAATGTCTCCAAGGGTATCAAGTATGTTTTCCCATCAGATGTGGTTTTTGCTTGAGGAGTTACAGTTTTTGACATGCTAAAGTAGAGCTCATGCTATTGGATATTTCATAGTTTACTTAAATTCAAGTTTATTTAAATTCAAAAGGACATCATGTCATTATTAATCTGATTCACACAATGAAATCTAGGAAAATTTTGCCTTATTGCCGCCCTCGTTTGTTATTTCTCTCTCAGCCTCAATTTACCACTCGGCAATTCAATCTCACTTTTTCCATTTTGTATCACCCCTACGTTTCCCAGTTTCACCATTGCTGCTGCAAATTCTCTGAAGAACGAACTTTGATCCTTGGCAAATGATTCAACAATTCATCTTGTCTTGTAGTCACTAAAGAGTGCTTGATCAGATCCGAACACACCTTTTCCTGCCAAAGGTTGTTTGTAGTAGTCATTAACAACTGTCCAGCATTGCGATCCTTGTTTGGTTTAGGGCATTTCTTCCTCAGTTTCTGCAACTTCGGTGTTAATACTAAGGTCGATGTCATGAACTGAACTAAAATTACGCAGCCAAGCTTGGACGGATGAACAGTGTTAGAATCCTACTAACACTAATATTGGGAGGACCATCTCTCTGCTTCATTTGGTGGAGTTGAGTCTAGTAACACTGATGCATCGAACCCCTTTTAATTAATTTTTCAAACAACCAAAGTAAACTTCAGACACGCTATACAATTGTAAACTAAATTACAAATACGAAATAGTCATGAAAGAGCATCCTGAGAATACCAGCAGGCACTTTAGGGTCATTAATGGAAGCATTTCGATCGTATAGTGTCTAGTATAATTTTCTCTGCTTCAGGACATATTTGATCATAATAATGAGCATCCAGTGCTGCCTTTTACTGTGAAACTGTTATCAGTACAAGGAAAATTACCGGAAGTTTTTTTGAAAAAATAGCCATCTATTTGGTAATGGAATGTAGATAATGCGTAGAACGAATATAAGAAAATGTGATGAGAGTTAATGAAAGATTCATGGGAGTATACGTAGTGACCATGGCATAGAAATGTGATTACAAATTTAGTAAATATACAAACCTGACATTCCTTGAGAAACCATTGAAGAACAGCCGAGTAAAACACTTCTGAACTAGCTGCAGATCCAGAGAAAATATAAATAATTAAAACTAAGAAAATAGAATTAATCAAATTAAATTGATCAGAATTGTAAACTTCACTACCTTACAACAAGAAGAATAAAACACAATAATCAGCATGTAGCAGAAGAATTTTAAAATTGTGTCCTGGCAGATGGAAATGTGAAGGCATCGATTGAAAATGGAATTGCCTCATGGAGATAGCATCTTCAACTTCCGTACCAAAAAAAGCCAAGCAATCTTGTCCAAGCCCAACGGTGTATTTTCCTTTGCTAGCATCGTCACGTGCCTCTGGTGCATCCTATAATTAACATTGATAATACTAACCAATACTAGTATTTTTGTTAACTTTTTCGGTTGAATTAGCTTTAATAAAATGAAAATACAAACTAAAAATTATTCCTACATTTTTGGGACCGGAAGCCATTTCTCCAGCCAACGTGGACTGGGTCTGGAAAGGCAGATAGACAAATGGCTAATCAGGTAATCCCCAAATGACCCCCAACCACCTCCTTTCTCGTTTTGCCCACGCGATTGTGCTTGTCGTCAGTGACCTACTGACCACACTCTTTTATTGCCCCCAGCAACTACCCCGACCGTGTCGTTTTCCTTCTTTCGCTCGTAGCCTCATAATTCTACTACTATTACTTATTGCTCGTTGACGACTTCAAATACATTTTTCATTAAAAACAAACTGCAAAAGTAATTTACAAATTGAGTTAAACTCCTTGAGATAATAGTGTCCTTTTCAACAATGTATTCTCTCTCCTTTAGCTCAAGAAAGGTTCTTTTATCAGCCTTTAAATTTGTTCACTCTCACAAGTCACCAGCTGCTTCAACTCGTCTTGGTCAATAGCATACATGAATTCAATTTCTTATGAATTTACATAGTCTTTTTACCAAAAACCTGCTTTCTTTTTTATATATAAAAAAAGAGGGCATTATAAGAAAATTAATGCAGAACATGCAGTTTTTATGAACATGTCATTTTACAAACGGATAAAAGTTTATTAGCTGAGGTACATGCCTTCTTAAATTATAGCCTGCTAACTATGACCAAAAGAATTGAAGTATAAAAATGCATGCAGTCGATTTCCTGTCACGTTTCATGGGACACAGTTTCTTATACTAATAACTGGCTGCTACAATAATTCTCTCAAATAGGCTTTATGCCATTCGAGAAACTATGGGGCGCATTGGCTGATAAAACTATGCTTGAAAATTGAAAGGCAGTAGGATGTAGCTTTCTCCAAATAAACGTTACTGGGCAATTCCTATAACTTGAGTCTAATGAGAGTTTTATGGGAGTGAATGTTGACTACTAACTAGTACCTGGTGAAGAAAATACATTGTCTTTGGATAAGCTGAAGAGCTTTTTTAAATGTGTGAAAATGCAGCTGCAATACTCTTAACTTCTTTTAAGCCCGCCTGTTTTGAGGTAAGAAATCAAGTGCAACAGTCCAGCTCATTAAGGTAGCTTCGAGGATGCAAACTTTCACTGACAAATATGAAAGATTTTTCCCACATTCATTCTAAAACAACAATGTTTTGGACAGTTGATTAAATTTATCAGACAGCAATCTTTTATTAATTAACCGATTTTAGGTATTGGAGCTAATCTTATTGAAGCATATCACCTATGATTATTGTGATACAATTAGTTAATCACAATTCAAAATTGTGTGAAGTTTATCAAAATTTTATATGAATTTCATACTTATAAATACTAGATCCCTACATAATTTTTTATTATAATAGGATAATTGTAAGGTTGTAGTAAAAAGAATTATAGGTGAAATGCTCTTAGTCTTATACACACATCAAATAAATTACTCGGACTAGTCTAATATGAGCTAGGATGGGAAAATAATTTAGACTTCGAAAATTTTGAAGGTATGAGGTTTTGCAATTACTCTTCCTCTCTTTAGAGCCAAAATTTGGGTTCAATGAATTAACCAATAAGGTAGTGCGGAGGGTACCAAAATAAAATTTGTCGGTTTATTTGTTTTCTTGTACTTGCTACTCTTATCTGTCTAATAAAAATTGTATATGAGAGGGAAGTAGAATTATAATGTACAAACTGTCATCAAATTTGTGCAAAGGTATTCAAATATCTGAATGGCAGAAAAACAGAATAGACAGAGGTGAGCAGAGGACATATTTTGGGACAGAAACAGCGATCAAGGATGCTAATTATCTTACTATGCTCTTATCAAGTGTAGATTTTCTGTCGTTGAAATGTGCATAGAAGAATACAAGAATGAAATGAAAATGCATATTTTATGCAACATCATCTGGTGGCGATTCTGACCATATATCAACTCGAAAGACCCAAAAAAAAAAAAAAAGAAAGGGGGAATATACCTCAGTTCCTCTTGCAATTCAGATTCCGTACTCAACAAATTTGGCTTTCATTTTCCGAAAGAAATGATTTTAGAGCTTAAACTTCAATAGTTTTCTGATTCAGAGCTGTGTACCTCCACCGCTCCTTCTCCACAAAGTCTGCATCCAGAAACTGAGCAATGAAAGCCCAAAGCTTATAAATGTCCTGAAAATTGGCTAGGAACCCCAATGCAGCAGTAACCACAGCTATTCCCATATCATTTTTGTCTTTTCTCTTGTTTCCATCCTTAACCCTGGCTTCATTCCTTCTTCTCTCAATGACTTTGTCCTTTTCTTCTTGATACTTATCTGCAAACCATATGCGGTGTAGGAACCCATAGCTAAGAGAAATGTTGCTTCGATCCGCTAGCTTCTGTACAAGAACAGGTTCGACTTTTTCTCCCTTCCAATCAAATACATTGAATGCGATTGCCGCTCCCCGATCAAATTTTATCTTTGGACCATATATTCTAACCAGGGGAATCCCCTTTGTGTTAGGATGCTGGAGTTTCAGCAGAGCATTCACAAGCCAATTGATGAGGCACCTTGCTCTATTACTAATTGTTACCAGTCCTAATGAATCCACCTGATCCAAACCCCTGCATTCGATCTCTCCTTTTTCTTTAAGATTATCCTCTTGAATTATCTCAAAAGGCTTCTCTGATTCTGAAATTTCGGTCATTCCCAACCCTTTCAGTTTTTCAGTAATTTCTGCATGTTGAATCTTATAAGTTTTCCCATCCTCAAGTCTTCCAGACTGTGAAGCTTGGACAGGAACAGGGCCTGAGATGGAGCCTGGTGTAGCTAATTTATCAACTTCTGTGTCAGTGCCTGGAGATTCAGTTGCTGAACGAAACAGCTTCTCAGCTGGGATAAGACCTACCATCCCTGAACTTGTAGAAGTTTCCAATACCGGAATGGCTGATTTCTTGGCGAAGAGGCATGCAAACCCTGAGGGGTTTTCTCCAAAAACTTTGTAGAAAGAGCAAATGAGAAAGTCTGGATGGCAGAGGGAGAGGCCAAAGCTGTCCATGTCTTTTGGTCCTAACGCACACGCATCGATCAACACATGCCATCCATTTTCCTGTGCGATGCTCATCCAGAGGTAGGGATATCTGGCTCCAGTCATCCTGGAATGAAGTGGGAAGACAAAAAGACCTCTTTTTGTCTTCTTCTTTTCCTTGCTCACAACCATTTTTCTCAATTTTGATGACTGAATTCTCAGTCTTGGCCACGAGAATTCTGCAGACAGAACTCTAGCCCCTTTTTTCTCGGAGCTATTGGCCATGGCTTCAATGGCCTCACTCTCATAATCATACACTGTTAAAAGCTTCCTATTAGACTGAAAGGGGTAAGATTCTGCTAGAAGTTTGAAAGCTGATGTCTTGTTTGCGGTGAAAACCATGCAGTAATCATTTTCTGAAATTTTAAGAAAAGTCATGATCCTCTTCCTGATCGCAGATTCCAGCTCTGAAGTTGGTCCACCATGAAGTAGCTGTGTCTTGAGATTTCCTGTCTTGTAAGACACACCAAAGAAGGGAATATCCAAAATTAGAGGAGGTGATTGTGGTGGCACAGGGAAGGAAGAAGAGGCAATTCGATATGTTGAAGACTCATGTTTTTGTAGTTGGGAATAGGAGAAGAGGCCGATGCCAAGATAATCAAGGCAGGTATGGTTGGAGAGCGATAGATGATAATACTCTTGTGCCCGTATTTGGTCAACTTGATAGGTGTCAGAGTACTGCGGGTAAGCCTCGGTGAATTCAGCAAATGATTCTTGCACGGTTGGAAGAGATTCATGGTTGGTGAAATGGGTGTTTGGGAAAATAGAGGAAGTAGTTTTCGATGCAAAGTCACGGCGACAAGCTGCAGAAGAGCTTGTGAGTTTTGAGGGTTTGCTCTGAGGCTCATGTGCGCTGAGGAAAGGGGATGGACAGCAGCCATGGAGGCATACTTGTGATACCTCTTTTAGGCAAGAGGATTGCATTTTTCTGTTTTCTTCCCTCATGGATCTTGATATTTTCTCATTGGTTTCTCCTCCCTTTTCTTTATTGTTGGTTTCTTTCAAATCTGCCTTCATGGTTTTTATAAGCACCATTTGGTATTTGCACCCTACTGATGGATGCGTTAATTTGTTTTATTTACATGTTTTGTGCTTTAAGCAGGTTGGCTGATGAGTAGTTGTGACTAAAGTCAGTTGAACAGGTCATTTTTTCCAAGTTGACCTCATCTTCCCTATTCTGTGTAGTTACACTTTAGCTTCAGGGCCGTTATCCTTCATTTCCACAACCCCCATCAGCCACTTGATCTTGAAGATCAAACTGTAAATGCCACATCAAATCATCACCATGGAGGAAATTCACGTGTACAGTACGAAGAAATTAACGGCGGTGGTCATTTTCATACTAAATCTTATCTCTGAAACAAATCTAGTTCGAATATGTAGCCTTGAACTGAATCTGATTAGGGTCATTCTCCTAACAGAGATTTAGTTGTAGTTTTTTTATTTCTATTATTATTATTATTTCATTGGAACGGTAGAGGCGGGAAACAGAAAGCAACAATGTATTAGTGGACGACAGAACCGCCTTTAGTTTTGCCAGAATTATCGATCTTTGTTGTTGGCTGAAAAAAGGCCTCTTTAGAAAGCTTTTTAAGTTACTTGAAGCTGAAGGTTTTGTGGTCCTAAACACTTGGCCCCGTTCCTTTGAATCGCTCTCTGCCTCAGTCCAAGTAAGTTTCCGGACTAATTGTGACTAGGGGACCACCATTGTAAAAACAAAAACAACATAAAAACGCCCATCTCCAAAATCCATTATTTTTAACTTTTTGTTGCTTACATTTAGAGTCAAGTCTGTTTGGTGTCCATAATTTTGTTGAGGTGTTATTCAGCCGGAAAATTTAGCATGCAGCAGCAAAAGTTTGTCTTTGGTATGGACGGCAGAAGTTCATGATCAACGAGGAAAAGTGAAAAGAAAAAAAAAATCATTGGTCTTAGGCAATGATTAAAAAGCAAAAGTTTAAGAGGAGCTAATGCACGGAAAAGGAAAAGGGAATAGTCGAAAACTTCCTAATCATGACTCTCTTCATCTCTTCACTATTAAATTAATTTTTTTACCAACAATTAAATTTGTTCAAATCAACACTTTTTCTACTTTTTTATTTGGCCCGTGTAATTAATCTTTTGATTTACGAATTTCAATCAATGTTATAAATGAAACCGTGTTAAGTAATGATGACTATTTCTATGTATATATTAGTATAACTACATCACTTTATGAGTAAAACAAAAAAAAAAAAATCCAGAAATTTGTTTGTAGCCAATTGTCTATCTAAGTCTAATTATTGGGAAAAAAAAGGGGCTTATCTAACGAAAAAAGTTCAAGAAATGAGATGATAACCTAAGTTTAGCTATGAATGCCTTAAATGGTTCCAATTTGATACTATAGAGATAAATATCAAAAGCAAAAAATTTAGTATTGTAAGGGTGATACTGATTTTTATTTAAATCGGATTTGATTTGATTGATTTTTTGGATAATACATAATTTTATAAAATTTTAAAATTTAATTTCGAATTTAAATCAATTTTTTTAAAAAAATTATCCAATTTAAAATGAATTTTATTGATTCGATTGATTCATTAATTTTTTAAATTTAATTTTTTATATATTATTTTAATAAAATTTTTAATAATTTAAATAAATTTAGATATCAAATAATTATTTTTATTTTATTAAAATTTAAAATATATAAACTAATAAAAATATATAATTAATTTAATTTTTTCTTTTATTTTTTTACTTTTTGATTCAAAAATTCTATCTAAATTTAATATATAAATATAATATTTAAATTTAATTTGAATTAAATAAAAAAATCAATCCAAATCGAATATTATAATTTTAAATTATTTTTTATTTATTTCTCATTATTTGTACTATAGAAAGATTTATTTTCCCATTTTTTAACTTATCCTCTTTATTTAAGATGCCAATTGTCAAAAACTAATCGGTGATTAATTAAACGGCTGCTGCGACACGCTTACAAGAGAAGCCGTTCAAACTCTGCAAGGACGTGGAACATGGCAAAGCGACTTGGTCTTGGAAAAATAAAGCCAAAAGGCCGAAATCCATTTCGTTATTTTAATGTTCCTTAGTATTAATTTAAAAAACAAAAAACCCAAACTAAGCCGCTATAAAATAAATTTAACAATGGGTTTGGATGGAAAGTTTTAAATTTTTGAAGAAAGTGAAGATAAAAATATTTTAAAATACATTATGTCAAAATATTAGAATTTTTAATTATTTTATTTGAATAATATTTTTTAAAAAAATTTTAATTTATTAAAATTTAATGAGATAAAAATCAATTACGAAGAATAATGATATTAAAGATAAAAGGCATATATGTATAAAGAAAATATGTAATATGAAAATCATTAAATTTTAAAAAATATAAATATCATTAATAATATAAAAATAAAACATATATATTAAAAATAAAATGATATTTATTTTTTTATTTTTATAATTTGTTATGCACCACGTGAGCAAAGACATGGAAATTTTGGAAGAATTTTGAAATACCACCTATTTAGGTGGAATTTGAACACCTCAAATTCCCTTTTAATATTTCACTTAAATTTTGAAATTCTCTTTTATTTTTACTTGTAAAGTTGATATCATAAATAATTTTTAAATTATAATAAAATATTTAATATAATATTTAAAATTTAAATATTATTAGATTTTTGAAAATATTGATTGAAACGAAATTCTTCTTCTAAATACTTCATCCACACGCACCTTATAAATGCTAGCAAATTAAAGTCGATTTTGAGTTTTGAAATAGCATTGATATTAATTTTGATGAAATTAAAAATAATAATAAATGTGAAATTATTAATAATAACAGTAAGATTAAAAGATGCATTAATTTACGTTTGGCAAAATTGACTAATGAAATTATATACAGTGAATAGATAAAATGACCAATATATTAAGTTAAATGGTATTAATGAATTATTTTCATGTATAATTATAAATTTATTTAATATTTTAAAAAAATTTATTTAGTACTTAGATCAAATGAAAAAATTTTATTATTATAAAGTAAAAAGAAAAATATTATAAAGAAAAATGTTAAATGAAATAAATTAAAATGATATTATAAATAAAAATATTAAATGTAATTATTAGAGATGTTGTCAAGGAATACTGTGCAGGAATATTCTGTTGGTCTTCCTCTATTACAGTTATATAGTTGTACATGTCATGGACAAACAGAATTCAATATTACAACCTCTAATTTTAAATTTGTAATTCTTGAAACTTGGTACCAGGAGCAACCTCCAAGTATTTTTTTTTTTTTTTTAAAGAGACTTGTTAATTACCAACTTGCATGTTTAATTTTTAAAGTCACTTTCAGAATGTTTCGCGAAACAATCTCCATTATTACTTACAGTTGGGATTTCCAGCCCACCCATGCCAAAGTGAGGAAAATCATTTCACCCACTGCTAAAACGCCACAGGACCCAAAAGCTCCGTTTCTTTTTCTGCTCATTTGTTTTATAAAAAATGACTTTTAAAAATAATTTTATATTTTTAGGTATTTATTTAATAAAAAGTTAATTAATCAACAAAAAATAATTTATAGGTCAATAAAAAATAAGATAATTTTTTTAAAATGAGTATAACTATTTCTTAATATATTTGAGTATAATTTTATTCAAATCAAACTTTTGTATATGATTTTTTAAAATTTAAATTTTATTTGATCTGATTTAATATATTATTATATTAAAAAAAATAATATTTTTATCTAATTTTATTTAAAAAATTAAAATATTAATATTAAAAATCTCTTAATATTTTAATTTTAAATATTTTTATAATTTTACTCAAATAAAACTTTAAACATAATATTTTTTTAATTCATTTCAAATCAAACTCAAGAAAGCGATTAGATGGCTTTTATTACTCATTGATTTGGGTATCTAGGCCCTATGGCTCTTTTTTATTTGGCCATTTGAGATTTTTTTTTTTTTTTTCATATTGTTGTTTAGGGATTTTTTGGTTTTTTAGTTATTTTTTATTAATATAATTTACTTTTCACTTATACCAATAACATTTTGCCATGTGGTTAGAAAAAAGAAATTTGCCGCTAGCCTGGTATGCCTGGCATTTTTCATTCCAAATCATTTGGCATATGGTAATTTTATTATGCATGTCAAAATATGTGGATGCACTAATCAATTTCATTTAAAAAAAATTCAATTGAATATAAATAAATATTTAAAAATTTAATTGATTGTAATAAACAATAAGGATGTTGCTGATTATTTATTTTTAATTTAATTTTTTTAATTTTAAGTAGAAAAATAAATAATAGAAATAAATTTGTTTAAGGTTTCATTTGAATGTAATCGTACCCATGATAAGGTACGATTAGCACCCAAAAGCCATTGGACACTTATTTGAATGTCATGGTTCGACACAATTGAAGCAATTTTCCTACATCATACTTCCATTTAGCAGCTAGACATTTTAGGTTTAGTGAAAATTCCTCTTTTTATCGCACCTCTTTCTTTCAATCATATCCCTGCTTTTTCCTTTTTTTTCATATGCCTAATATATTGGGATTTTTTTTTTAAGCATAAACAAATTTTACAATGAGATTGATACGAAAATAAGTCACACATAAGAGATAATATTTAATATAGTTCAACTAATTATCTACATCCACGGATGAGAGAGAAAATTCACTATAAATGTAAAGATTGCAATGAATACAAAACACCATAAACAAATACTAATATCGAGTCCTTGAAACAATCCTAGTTTCTTTGCTCCCTAGTCTATAACCTATGAAATATCCTTTATATAATGTAACTAGTGTTTTCTTGAACAAACTGTTTTTCACATCTATACAAACTTATCTCTTATATAAAGATCTTATAACTCTATCTTATAATTCTAAAAGTTAATAATCACTTCATATTTATAAAGCTCCATTACTTGATTATCAATAATTCCTATTTACTAAGAACTTTTACTCATTAAGAATATTTATCCTTAAATAAACTTAATTATCAAGTAATTCTTTAACTAATAGAATTTTATTGGAATTCAAACTGTTTCCTAACTAGAATTTGAATCAAATCTAACAAATCTTTACCTTAAAACAAATTTTACCACAACATTTACATTCAAGAAATTTCGACTACATATAATCGAATTAGTCTTACTCCACCTAATTTAAACAAGTTGGTTAATACTTGTGTGCAGCCAATTCAACTTTACCCGGTTGACTCCTCCTGTAACTAATGCCTTGTTGCAACATATCTTCTCTTACATATTTTCAATCTCATAAATACAATCTA